GACACACACACACACACACACACACCCACACACAGACAGACAGACATACAGACACACACACACACAGAGACAGACACACACACTGTAACCTGCAGGAACTAAGATGAACTGAGTGAACACTTTACACAAGGAGTGGCCAATCGATTAAAATTATAATTACAAAAACTGCTGACTAATTAATCAAATCACAATTAATCACATACATCGATATTTGCTGAGAAAATCTCTCAAATGAAGGCTTAATGTAACTATCAAGTAGAAAGTAAACTTTTTCCTTATAGCTTAATCATTATTTTTAGTAGTTGAAAACATAGTTTTTAAATATTTTAATATACAAATATCATACATTTTTAATTCATAAATATCATTACGTTTTGGGGTCGTACCATGTGACATTTAACAACGACAATATTAAAATGAATTTGATTTCAGAAATTAAAAACATACTGATAGAGAGAAGCGGTGTCATTATATGTATGAATTGCATTTGTACTTTTAAATACAAATTGCTTGTTTAATGAGCCATTCATGCTTGTTTCAAGCTTGTTTAATGAACCATTACTTTCAGTAGTTAAAAACTAAATATTTTCAAGATACAGATATCATTAATTAGTAATTCATAAATATCATTATGTATTGGGGAGTTGCAATACAAGACATTTTACAACTTGCAATAAAAAATTTTAAAAAAACGTTAAAATGAATTAAAAGTGGTGTCATTAAATGTATGAATTGCATTTGTACTTTTGAAAAAAAAAAGATATATACATACAAATAATTATACTAAACTATAAATACATTTGATATAAAAATATATGAATATATATCGTATATATTAAAATTAAACGGATAAAATTTAAATGAGCTACAACACTTTAATTAATTAATTATTTATTTATTTACAAACTTAGCAAAAATGTAACATCTCATTTTCAGGATAGTGTATTTTAAAGATATATTTTTTAAAATCCAAATAAGCTCTACATATATTTTTTGGAGAGCGTTTAAACAATGTTTTTCATGAACCATAAACAATTCTTGCACATGTACCTGTACACTGTAAAAAAAAATCTGGGAATGTCAATTTACGGTTATTCACTGTAAATTATACAGTCTTTTTCACTTCCAAAAACGGTATACTACCGTAAAGTTAATGTCCAATACATGTAATGTCCAATACAGTTTTTCACCGTATATAGTAGGGGAATTTACCGTTAACCATTTAACAGGTTTTTACTGTAGCATTTTTACAGTCTTTTACCGTTAAATTCACGGTCATTTTTTACAGTGTAGAACAGTCCTTAAGACACAACAGTGTACAGGTTGTAGACAATGAAGGTCACAGTTACAATAGCTTAGGACAGTAAAGAGACCTTTACACAACAACAACAACAACAAAAAACCTTGGTTTACTAAACTGCATGTGCGTTTGTGTCTTTGCAGGTGCGTAAAGAATACGGCCGATGCCTCCGCACACACTGCTGCAGCGGGAAGAGTGTGGAGTCGACCATCTCCACTTCAACAAAGACCAGTACAGCCCGCACACCTGGACGCTATTCCACCAACTCACAGGTAACACACACACACACCTGCAGGGGATCCTCCAAAACCATCTCAAGTGATTTTCTAGGCCGGTGACTGGTGAAGCTGTCAATGGTCAATGCAGTCATCAGCTTGTTATTTCTTGCACAGAAAGCACTTTAGCTCTGGCGTTTTCTTATTCATGGATGAATACAGTCCCACATGACCCAATTTCCCATTCAGCCTTACTTTAAATGGTGCACTCAGCATTCTGCTCACCTCGCAATTCGTGAATATAATCAGAAAGGTTTTCAGTTGCATATTCCAATTAGACACTGTACAGCGCCGATAACTGGAAACAACAACAACAAAAGAAAACAAAACCAACTTCACGAATTGAATGTGTGTAATATGCTTTATATAAGATACTATATATAAAAAAGTTGCATTGCACAACTATTGATGCTTAACACAATTTCTGTGTTTGCTTTCTTTGGACACTGCTTTCATTTCAATTAGAAACTAAACATCGACTGCCTCTCTTCCTCTGTTGTCAGAGTCGTATTCGTAGGATGTGGAATGACACGGTCAGGAAGCAGTCGGAGTCATCTTTCATCACCGCTGATATGAACAGCTCAGCGACTCTCAACAGAGGTAAAGCCAAACACATATACACAAACATAAACATAAACATGTGTACTCATGTACACAGCATTCATACACATACCTACTGAGAGAAACTGTACACACACACACACACACACACACACACATACACACACACACACTCAAAACAGATTGTTTGGATCTGAGGTGAGAAAAGTGGAACAGAAACCAGTGATCATTTGAATTCTATAGGTTAGTTCTGACCAATGAGATTTGCCATGACACAGAAAAATAGGTAACACTTTATTTTAAGGTGTCCTTGTTACACGTTACATGTACTTACTATTATAATAACAATTAATTATGCATAATTACATGCAAGTAACCCTAAGCCAAACCCTTACCATGTAGTAAGTACATGTAGTTAATTAATATTACTCCGTACTTAAATGCATAATTACTATGGAAGCCTGTTTCCGCCACTGAATAAAAAATAAAAGAGGTAATTGCGACTTTTTATCTCACAATTCTGACTTTTTTTTTCAGAATTGCGTGATACAAACTCGCAATTCGGACTTTTTTTCTCAGAATAAACTCGCAATTGCGAGTTAAAAAGTCATAATTGAGAGATATAAACTCGCAATTCTGAGAAATAAAGTGTCTTTTTTCCCCCCTGAAAATTGGACTTTAACTCGCAATTGCGAGTTTATATCACGCAATTCTGAGAAA